TGCAAGTTTGAAATTGTCATAAAACATAACTTTGAAAAATGATTTAATCTATAGGTTAGTCGGAAAGTCCGTCCCTTTACTAAAACCGTATTATTTTATCGCCTAAAGAACAAAACATTTCGCCTATAAGTTACATAGATAATATGTAATAGAGTATATCATATAACAAACATTCTACAAAACTTGTTTCATTAGACAAACTCCATAGTGAAGTTCCTTGGGAATCCTTAGAATCTCGAAGAAATAATCATATGCTTATCTTACTTTATAAAATGAAAAATGGCTTAACACCAGATTACTTGTGTTCTTTACTTCCACCTACTGTAGGCGAAAATTCAAGGTACGATCTACGCAATGCTACAAATATTCAGACTATTCGAACACGAACTACTCTTTATCAAAATGCTTTTCTTCCAACTGCTCTGAATAAATGGAACGCCCTTCCAACTGAAGTGCAAAATTTACGTTCACTGTTTGCTTTCAAATCCCATTTGAGACGAAGCAGCTCTAGTTGTCCGATTTATTTCTATGAAGGCGATAGAAAATGGCAGATCTTTCATGCTCGACTTCGTACTGAATGTAGTTCACTAAATCAGCATCTATTTAAGAAAAATATTTCTCCATCTCCTCTGAGTCAGTGTGGCATAGTGGAAAGTTAATTACCACTTTTTCTTTGAATGTCATCGCTATGCTGACAGCAGGGCCTCTTTCTTAACACTATATCTACTATTTGTTCAGCAACTCTCCCAAAAGTTATTAAATGGAGACCCAAACATTAGTGATGATGCAAACAGAATACTGTTTGAAGCCGTTCATACATACATCCGAGAAAGCAGGAGATTCTCTTAAGCATATTCACATCAGCTCAAATCAATAAATACTTCCCATCTAAATCGCCGAACTATCCGAATGATCCACATTTAATTTATTTCTTCTTCTTTTCTATTTTGCTGAAAGTTTCTTACTTTCATTTCTTTCTATCTTAATTTACGTTATTTCTCTTTAATTTTATATAACAAATGATGCAGTCTTGTATTCTCATTCATTTTTTGTATTAATTTTTGCTTTACATTATAACTAAATGTTAGAAAAACAATTTTTGACTTTAACTTCTTAAAAACAATGTAAAATCAGATATATTTCAAGCAAGTCACATAATTATTACTGTCATACCGTATTTTTATGCATTGTAAATCTATAAGGAGAAGGCCTTTTTATAAGCTCAGCTTTCGGACCCAATCCTTTTTCAGCATATTATGTTTGTATTGTGTACATTATTGTCTGTATATATATTGTGAATTTGTTCGAAATAAACTATGTTTAAACTAAACATTCTTCCGCATAGGAAATGGTGAAAAAGAAGTTCAATGTGTTCTATTGATAAAAAATAAAGCATATTTTGAAATATCGTAATGTAAGCGTTTTGTTTGAATGCCATACAATGTAATGTAATTTTATAATTGAACAATGTAATTTTATAATTCAACAAAGCATGGTGGCCTTATATCGCCCACCTGCATATTAAGGCTCCACATGACAAGGGTAGATAGCATTAAATATTATAAATAAAAAGCAAGTACATTTCATGTACTTGGTCAGACTCTGGATAACTGATATCAGTACTCAATACTACGTCTGAAATGGTCATCAATATCCAAATGTCTGTAAATGACAAAGATATGATAATTTAAGCGAGATTCAATAGTGACCTTGAGGTCAAGGTCATTTCAAGGTCAATATTATAGTTGAACTATTCAAGATGTCCGTCCTGTCATAAATGTATGAATGACATCTGATCATTGATAACAAAGAAATGGCAGTTTTATCACAATTCAATAATTTGACTGTTAAATATGTCTTTATTTTTATAATTCAAAGGCAAATAACTCTTGACATATTCAGTCGTTTTAGCTCATAAATAAACTTGATCGAAACCTTATTGTTATACATATTCTGTATAAAATACTTTAAGAATGGAGAAGAAACGAAAGCACTAACAATATATACTGATATATAGTGCGTTTTTTGTTGTTGTTTTTTGTTAGATTTAGCCTATATTCTAACTTTGTTGAGATTTTATGGTCATAGATATTCTGTTGAAAATTGTCAAGATAAAAGAAGAAAGAAAGCGTTGGAGTGGTAACAATGTGAAATATAACAGATATTGTATTTCAAGGACAGATAACTCTTGACATATTGCTTAAGGTATGTGGATGCTAGAGTGGTAACAAGCGCTAAATTTGGACGAACAGACAGACAGACAGACAGGCGCATACTCAGATGAGCTGAAATTAACACACAAAAACACCTCATAATAACTGGTCCAAATTAACGAAAATTATATAAACTTTAAAATATGGACGTTATGCGGCAGGACAATGCCTTTTTGCCGCAACATGTACGTCAGAAAAATGTGGACGATATGCGCCGCAAAACGTCCATATACGTACGTTTTGCGGTACGGACGTTTTGCGGTGTTACAAGGCATAATGTGCCTTTAAAAAAGGAACAAATATGTTTCCGTTTGGAGTTCTGTTTGTAAAATTGAAATATCAATTCCGATCACACAATATTAACTAACCGTTCCTTTACGAGACCAATGTACAGCATTACCACAGGCATAGTTTTAATTTCCTTCTTTGAAGAGCTGTTGTCAAAATTTTTTAGCCCGTGATAATTGTCTGTTTAAAAAGGTTCTTAGCCTCTTCTCTTGTAACATTATAAATGACTTGCGATATTTTTTTATCAAAACAAATAACAGGAAAAGGAAAGATATAAAAAAGAAGGAAAATCAAAGGGCCGTAAAATGAGCACATCACAAAATATTAGAACTACAATTGCATATTTACAATAATTGTCAGAAGCATATTTTTTACTCTGTTTAAACCATTGATCCTTCATTACAAAATATTTCTAAATTAAAAAGTCTTCATTTGAAAATTATTAAGTAATAAGTATCAAGTTTATTATGCCCCCGCCATGTAATGGCCGGGGCATATAGTGTTACCCTGTTCCGTCCTTCCGTCATTCCGTCATTCTGTCATTCCGTCATCATCAGTTTCCGTTCATTATCTCCCAAACGGTACAACACATTCAACTCAAATTTGACATATGGATATGTCATGAGAAAATACAGGTCAAGTTCGAATTTGGTCATGGCTCGATGTTTTTTGGCAGAGTTATGCCCCTTTTACTTTGAAAATAATATGAAATTTTCAGTTTCCGTTCATTATCTTCCCAACGATATAACACATTCAACTCAAATTTGACATATGGATATGTCATGAGAAAATACAGGTCAAGTTCGAATTTGGTCATGGTTCGATGATTTTTGGCAGAGTTATGCTCCTTTTACTTTGAAAATAATATGAAATTTTCAGTTTCCGTTCATTATCTCCCCAACGGTACAACACATTCAACTCAAATTTGACATATGGATATGTCATGAGAAAATACAGGTCAAGTTCGAATTTGGTCATGGTTCGATGATTTTTGGCAGAGTTATGCCCCTTTTACTTTGAAAATAATATGAAATTTTCAGTTTCCGTTCATTATCTCCCCAACGGTACAACACATTCAACTCAAATTTGACATATGGATATGTCATGAGAAAATACAGGTCAAGTTTGAATTTGGTCATGGTTCGATGATTTTTGGCAGAGTTATGCCCCTTTACTTTGTAAATAATATGAAATTTTCAGTTTCTGTTTATTATCTCCCCAACAGTACAACACATTCAACTCAAATTTGACATAGGCCAATTTCGAATTTGGTCACGGTTCAATGATTTTTGGCAGAGTAATGCCCCTTTCAATTTGAAAATAATATGAAATTTACAGTTTCTGTTCATTATCTACCCAACAGTGTTACATATTCAACTCAAATTTGACATATGGATATGTCAAAGGAATGGGCAGGTCAAGTTTGAATTTGGTCATGGTTCGATGATTTTTTGGCAGAGTTATGTCCCTTTCACTTTGAAAATAATATAGATACATCTTAGGAATAAGCAGTTTTAGTTTGAATTTGGTCGTGGTTCAAAGATTTTGGACAAACTTATCTTTCTTGAATATTGGAAAAATTTTGAACTTTTTGTTTCAGCACTCGTACTTTTGTGGAAATGTATGTAGCCATTATTTTGGCTACAAATATGAAATATGCTATTTTCAAAAGGTTAAGACTGAATAATTTCAGTGCCTTGAACATTGTATGAAAATGGTTTGTGTTAACACAGAAAAGTTTAAAGGGCTTTGAACTTAAAATGAAAACAATAATTTGTGCAAACAAATTTGGAACTAAATGTTATAACATCTGAAATTGTGGCTGCATGCGGGGGCATCCGTGGCATGATGACACATTTCTAGTTGGATATATTTTCCAGTTTGCATATTAACAATACAAAACATGAGACAAATACATTTGTAATAATAAATAATAATAAACAATCGCGTGAACATGTGAGGGCAACACTGTATAAATATTAAATCTAAGATGCAAAAATATATTCCATATTAGCAATTATGTAATTAAAAAAAATGTGTCAACTTTTGTTCATTTACGAATATAATTCATTTCATTTATCAAAAAATAATTTACAAAGACATTTTATTAAGAATTTTAAAAAAACAAGTTACAGTACATTTTTCAAACATTTATTATCTTATATAAACTGTCAAATATTCATCATGAAAGTTTTAAAATTTACATATACATTTGTACATAAAATGTTTTTATTTTAAAATTAGATTAATTAAGACTTTATTTCACATAATCTATTCATAATACAATATTCATTATTTTAATACAAATGTCATAATGGCAATTTAACGATTTAAATCGATTGGTCGGTGCGAAACGGACGTAATGCCTTCATTATGTTATATGAGTTACTGCTGTTTTGCATTAAACCATCAAAATGTCAATCATATCTATGAAATAATTAAAATAAAGTATGTTTTATTTATCAAAAATATATTTTATCGCATTCAAAAATGCTTAAAAAAAGACAAACGGAAAATCATTCCGAAAAGACTTTCATATAAGATATTCAATTTCATTTCTATAAATAAAAAAGTTATTACAGTGCTGTCAATAAATTATTCTCCCAGAGGCAATTGTCAAACTTTACGAAACCTTTGTTGTTGTTGTTTTAATGAGTTTCTCTCAAAACTTTTTCATAATGTTATTAATAATCTGTATCAAATTTTCTCACTTCTAAATAAGTATATCTTTTATTCTAAGTCAACAAACAAACATCCTGTTTTTTCTATCACGGATCAATCCTCAAACATTGAACTGTCGGAGTTTTTGGAGTTAGTCATTTTCATTTTTACCACTGCTGTGTACATCAATTATTATTGTGTTGCTATTTTGAGATTACTTTTATATCACTTCATTATTTACATTTGTACACCTCGCTAAAGAATTCGACAAGGAAGTCCGTGACGATTCCCTTGTCCGGTATATTCGCCATCATACCGTAAACACCCGCCGTTCCTTTCTTTGCCAGGGCTTTATTATCCTGTAAGTTTATAAACAAAAACAGGAATAACAGCAAACGGTGTGAAAAAAATGTGAAAAAACGAGGTGCAATACATGTATACCGAGATGTCAATAAATAATAATAGCAAGTGGTGTGAGAGAAGAATATCATAAAACTGGGTATAATACGGAAATATAAATTTCCTCAACTCAAAGCAGTCTAACAGCAATTATAAAAGGGATCGAAAAGAGTCTTAGAATAAATATGCAAAATTACATAAATCAATATCAGCATTTCGTCCTAACTACTGCTGATTTCTATTTCTAAACAGTTTAACATAAATTAATTTGGATACATGGTGTCTGTCTGGCAATAATGCAAGTTAATATTTCTTTATAAAGACGACCCTACCTCACACGTAAAGACTGAAACATAACTTCATTTAAAAATCCTGTGTGTTGTAATTAAGGTTGTTACCACACTTAAGTGTAATGTTATATATGCACATAACTATGCTTCTAAAACAATTTTCAAGCATCGAAGAATATGTAAAATATGCACTGCAAATATGTGTTCACATTATATGTTATCATTAAAATATATGCATTCATTTCTTATTGTAAACTTTGACTTTGATTTTATAGAAAATAAATCTTTAATTACCTACCTTTATTTACATAATTTTATAAGTTCGGTAATATCTTTACAAATAATGCTTTTTGGAACTTACAATATTGACAAATCTTCATTTGAGCATTATATTTATGATATAAAACCATAAAAGATTGAGTTACAGGATCTTTAAATACTTCAATTCTATATTTTCGAAAGTTTCAAATCAAACAATTACCTTGCAATACTTGGCCGCCTCCTCAAGGTCATCTAAAAACTTGTCAGCAACATGTTCATGATGTGGAAGTATAGAGCAATGAAGAGAATCTGGCAGTTGATTTCGTTCCATTTTCCAACCTTTTGTTTCCATGGCATCAGCAACAGCTTGTATATTGATGTTCGGATTACTTGCAGATATGGCGAACGCTGTCATACAAGGGTCACCCATGATTTGTAGTCCCTAATATTGCAATGATAGCATAAGTATTACTGATGTATAAATCTGCAATGATTTGTGCAAAGGCTGTTACTTGTCATCAAGATAAAAAAATATAAATCAAACTTATAGATCCCTAAATACTCAAAATCATGTTTTATTTACATAAAATAGAATATACCATTACATTGAATTACATTTAATTCTGCAGTACCTTTGCAGATGTTTCGATTTCATGTACTTCACTAGATATTTGAAAGATTTTCGAATTTATGTTTTAAGCCTTTGAACCTGAATGGAGTTCCTTTAAATCAGCATGCAACGTATGATAAAGTGATCTGAAGAAATAGGTGCTTGAGCTCGCAATAAACCATATCTATTTATTGAATTGTATAGACGTTCAGCTATTCCGTTTCTTAAAGGCCCATTATGCCTCAGATATGATATCAGTTTTTTCTCTCCAAAAGAGTGTTTATTTTTGGTATCTTGTTACATTTCCAAAGAAATATACTCATTTTCCATATACATGAACTTCCTTTTGCTGATTTTGTTATATTTACATTTGGTATAATTATAGTGAATTAAGATTTTGAATAGAAGTCGAAATACTTATTTGTTTGCATTTAGCTACCTTTACGTTTAGCGCTCTCTTTCAGTATTTAAACATGTAGCATGCTCTAGATTCATTATTGAAACATTATTAAACACATGTGTGAAATTTATAAAAATATGGATATATGAGGCTGTTTAAATGACAGGAATTTGTCACATGTATTTGAGCCGCGTCATGACAAAACCAACATAGTGCGTTTGCGACCAGCATGGATCCAGACCAGCCTGCGCATCCGCGCAGTCTGATCAGGATCCATGCTGTTCGCTTACAAACTCTATTACAAGTAGAGAAAATGATGGCGAACAGCATGGATCCTGATCAGACTGCGCGGATGCGCAGGCTGGTCTTGATCCATGCTGGTCGCAAACGCACTATGTTGGTTTTGTCATGACGCGGCTCATTTATTAAATACATTGTAGTAACCTCTATCGTCTTTATCCGAGTAATCATCTTTACAGTTGTGTCCATCAGTGTTTTGGCTTTCTCCATGTAACCCTCTTGCCCTAAAGCTTTCATTGCCGCCCAGGCTGCCGCAATATTACCACCTGAATTAAAACATGTTAATATAAAGCTTTCATTTCCACCCAGGCCGCCGAATGTTACCACTTGAATTACAACATGTTAATATAAAGTCTTCATTGCCACCCAGGCTCAGGCTGCCGCAATATTACCACCTGAATTACAACATATTACCATAAAGCTTTTATTGCCGCCCAGGCTGCCGCAATATTACCACCTGAATTACAACATATTACCATAAAGCTTTTATTGCCACCCAGGCTGCCGCAATATTACCACCTGAATTAGAACATATTACCATAAAGCTTTTATTGCCGCCCAGGCTGCCGCAATATTGCCACCTGAATTACAACATACAATGTATTACCATAAAACTTTTATTTCCATCCAGACCGCCGCAATGTATATCACTTAAATTACAAAATATTACCATAGAGCTTTCATTACTGCTCAGGCTGCCGCAATATTAACTCCTGAATAAAATCATATTAACATAAAGCTTTTATTTCCATCCAGGCTGCCGCAATATTACCACTTAAATTACAACATATTAATATAAAGCCTTCATTGCCGCCCAGTCTGACGCAATATTGCCACCTGAATTACAACATATTACCACAAAGCTTTTATTTCCATCCAGGCTGCAATAATATTGCGGCCTGATGTATAGAATGTTGATATAAAGCTTTCATTGCGACCTATGTGTTCATGTGGCAAAGTCGTTAGTCAGGTGCAGTCCTGGCGTCTTAGCTTTCAATCATTTCAACATACCCCGTCCAGTATTATCGACGGGGATAGTAAATTTTAATGTCCGTCTTAAACAACGATTAAAAGAGTTTGTTTGTTTTTATAAATTCGTAAATTGAAACAAAATTCAGTAAAGCGTTAGTATTGTATATTACCTGGCCTAGTGCCTGCCATTGAAGGGGAACCATATAGACCTCCTGGCCACTCTGAATAGGCGTAAATCTGATATTTTCTTATATCAGAATTTCGGTAACAAATAACGCTAGCACCCTGTAAAAATATTGTAGTAAAAAAGATTGATTCAAAAGTGTAAATGTTTGTCATATTGCAGTGAAGATACACATGTTTTATAGTATAAAACAGGTTACTTATTAGGGGAGATAGTATGTAATTGACCATATGCGAGAGCGGATAAAAATACATGGACTTTCGTTACATTAATTTTGTTTGTACAAATAATAAGATCACAAATGCATAATAGTTATATAATGGCATTTTCCATGATTCTGTTCAATTTGGGTATGATAGGTCCAGTGGGTTTCCTAAAGTAACAATCTTCTTTTGGTCAGTGCAGTGGTACAGGTGCATGGTAACGACGGTCAGTCGGTAGAGCCTCGGTACAATATTTCGATGGTTCCGTGTTTAAGTCCCTGTTAGACTGTTTTTTCTCACTTTATAACATGTAATATTAAAAGAAAGATGCTTGGTAACGTTTTTAATGCATTATTGTTCTCATATTTTTTAACTATATTGATATTTGTACTATTATCCACTAGAACACTAGGCCGCCAACTTCACGCTGCTATGACGCTCGGTCGCTAGGCCGCTAACTTCATGCCGCTAGGTCGCTGGGCCGTTAGGTCGCCAACTTCACGCTGCTATGACGCTCGGTCGCTAGGCCGCTTACTGCACGGCGCTAGGTCGCTGGGCTGCTAGGCCGCTAACTTCACACCGCTAGGTCGCTGGGCCGTTAGGCCGCTAACTTCACGCTGTTTTGAGGCTGGGTCGCTAGGCCGCTAACTCCACGCCGCTAGGCCCCCAATTTAAACATCTGATATTTTTTACTATTGTTCTTAAATATTCAATTTATATAAAACATACCTTCACACAAAATCCATATTTGTGAACATCTGCAGACATTGAAGTCACACCTGGAACCCGGAAATCAAATTTCGGTACAGGATACCCCAGTTTCTCCACCCTAAAATTTATGTCGTTTGTTATAGACATAACACGGCAAACAAAATCAAACCACTTACTCTTTATTTGATTCTTGATAGCAATAACAAAACAAATAAAAAAATAGATGAACAAATAAAACTTACATGTAAAATGTAAGATATAACTCGACTTTACTAGAGCTGTTTATGGGGATAACCAAGACTTTTAATTACATGTATAAATAAACCTTAATTATTATCATTATTATTATTATTATAATTATTATTATTACAGTCCAACCCCGGTTATTCGACAACCCTTTATTCGAATACCCGGCATTATCCGAAGTAGGTCGGCGGTCCCGTTTTTATCTCTATTAAAAATCAATATAAATACGAGCGTATTATTCGAAATGCATTATCCGAATACCTCCTATTTTTCGAAGTAAAATTTCGGTCCCGATTTTACAATTATGAAAAAATTTCACACCTATTATTCGAATCCAGCCTAATTATTATTCGAAGCCAGACTTATTGGCGCATATCCACTCGCTGACCGGTCAACTTGTGAAAAATATCAACAGTCATGCGTGTAATTAGACAATCATGATAATAACTCTTTGTGTTTACCGAAAATGAAAAGCAATGCACCGTGTCCGATTTTGTTACTGTTATTGCCTGAAGATGATAGCAATAATTTTCTATATATAAGTTTGTCAAGACATCCAAAACATTTTTTTCATTAATTGTAACGCTACATGAGAGCCTCTATCCTAATCCAAAATACCAGAGTTTAGCTGTAAAAACCGGCCATTATCAAGGCTTTGCGCGAAACGAAACGATACATAATGTAGAATAAAATGCAATTATTTATGTCTTCAATGTCAATACAATAATTTTTACGCATCTTTTCTTAAATATTTATTTTTCTCAATTGATTACAGGAAGTAAGTGTGTTGTAAAAGGTAGTTTTGCTATGATTGGAGTAGTTTTCGTCTATCACAATATTCCGATTTCGATTATTCGAACCCATCGATTATTCGAAGTAAATATTCAGTCCCAGGCACTTCGAATAAACGGGGTTGGACTGTATTATTATTATTATTATTATTATTATCATCATTATTATTATTACTAATATCATCATTATTATTATTACTATAATTATCATCATTACCGGGTATTATTATTATTTTTGTTATTGTGCCCCCACGTTAGTGGCGGGCATTTAGATTTACCCTTGTCCGTCCGTCCGTCCTTCCGTCCGTCCTTCCGTCCGTCCGTCCGTTCACTTTTGTGTCGCATGTAACTCAAAAAGTATTTGACCTAGAGTCATGAAACTTTACAGGAATGTTGATCAGCATGTGTAGTTGTGCACCTGGGTATTTTCGTCTGGATATTTTTAGTATTTTCAGAGTTATTGTCCTTAACTTAGTAAAATTTTGCAATTTTCAACTTGTGTCGCACGTAACTCGAAAAGAATTTTACCTAGAGTCATGAAACTTTACAGGAATGTTGATCAGCATATGTAGTTGTGCACCTGGGTATTTTCATATGGATATCTTTAGTATTTTCAGAGTTATTGCCCTTGACTTAGTAAAATTTTGCAATTTTCAACATGTGTCGCACGTAACTCAAAAAGTATTTGACCTAGAGTCATGTAACTTTACAGAAATATTGATCAGCATGTGCAGTTGTGCATCTGGGTATTTTCGTCTGGATTTATTTAGTATTTTTAGAGTTATTGCCCTTCACTTTTTTGCAATTTTCAACTTGGATTTGACATAGTCATTAAACCTTATGGGCAGGTTGCTCAGCATATTTTAGATTTGCACCTGGGGTTTCGCTTGTGGATTTATCAAATATTTGTAGAGTTATTTCCCTTGACTTAGTAAAAAGATTGACAGAACAGTGGCGCGGTGGGGGCACCCGTGTCCTATGGACACATTTCTAGTTATCATTATCATTATCATTATTATTATTATTATTATTATTATTATTATTATCATTATTATTATTATTATTATTATTATTATTATTATTATTATCATCATCACCATCATCATCATTATCATCATCATCATCATCATAAATATTATGCAGGTCAAGTGAATCACTTTAAATAGAAAAAAATCCGCAAAGGATTATAAATCAAAGCACAGAAGGCGCTGAATTTGTTTGGGTCTCAGAATGTCAGAAAGGTGAAGGTTGTGAGATTATAAACCAATTTGTTTTTTCCTTTTAGTGCCACCAATGCTTTCCAGCGTTTTAACTGTAGTAAACTGGCTAGAATACTTATTTAAACACTGATATTCAATCCAATGTTTATTTGAGAAACAATTTGAAAAAATAATGAATTGCCTTAACTGGGATTTGAACTCCAGACCTCTCGCGCGCAAACCACTCGGCCACGGTGAAGTTATTTGTTTACAGCCTGAAGAAAACTATATTATTCTATATTAGGGTTTGTAACGACGTAACTGTTGTATAACAATGGTGGAGCCTACTATAAGCATTTATATCTATAAAGAATAAAACAATATTAGAAATCTTCCACCATTCGGGAATTATTTTGCTTGAAAATTAATGCGCCTGTCATTTGACCATCTTTACGCAGTGATCTCCCCTGAATTTTTCGGCGTTTGTTTACATATAAAGGGAAGTAACCGCTTCAAAAAAGCGGACTACATTCGGCACTTGCAATTGTCAGAAATTTCGCTACCATTATCTATTTGGCCTGACGACCCAAACAAATAATAAATATACTAAAATATTTGACAGTCGAAAGTGACTGCAATTCTTAGGCCGATTTGGGTTTGTGTTTTCTGCATTGTGTTTCTTGGGATGAAAATATGTTATGTCACATTTAAATGTCACGTGAAATTACTTTTAACACGATTTATGATTTGCAGATCTGTCGGCTTTACATGGCCATATTCATTGCATATGTGTGGTTTGTATATATGTTATGTATGGAAAATTTGCGAAAACTAAAGAAAACAATTTAAACCCAAAAAATACTTCCCATGGCAAAAAAAAAAAAAAAAACGTCCAATTAGGGGTAGCTTTTTTTCAGACCCGTGAGAAATTTTTCCTCTATAGGGCCCCATACAGCGTGGAAAAAATTGTGGTCCCAAATGCTACAAGCAACACGGTGTCCGAATTGATAGCCTATATTTAGTGTAATTACAAATAATTTGATTATTTGAAACTTGTACTACAGTTGACAAAATTGTGGAGCCGACGCTTCTAGCATCACAGTGTCCGAATTGATAACCTATATTTAGTGTAATCACAGATAATTTGATTATTTGAAACTTGTACTACAGTTAACAAAATTGTGGAGCCGACGCTACTAGCATCACAGTGTCCGAATTGATAGCCTATATTTAGTGTAATCACAGACAATTTGATTATTTGACACTTGTACTACAACTGTTGACAAATCTTGTGTAGCAAGCATCACAGTGCGAATTGATAGCCTACATTTAGTGTAATCACAGACAATTTGATAATTTGAAACTTGTACTACAGTTGACAAAATTGTGTAGCCAACGCTACTAGCATCACAGTGTCCGAATTGATAGCCTACATTTAGTGTAATCACAGACAATTTGATTATTTGAAACTTGCACTACAGTTGACAAAATTGTGGAGCTGACGCTACTAGCATCACCGTGTCCGAATTGATAGCCTATATTTAGTGTAATCATAGGTAATTTGATTATTTGAAACTTGTACTACAGTTGACAAAATTGTGTAGCCGACGCTACTAGCATCACAGTGTCCGAATTGATAGCCTGCATTTAGTGTAATCACAGACAATTTGATTATTTGAAACTTGTACTACAGTTGACAAAATTGTGTAGCCGACGCTACTAGCACCACAGTGTCCGAATTGATAGCCTACATTTAGTTTAATCATAGATACTTTGATTATTTGAAATTTGCACTACGGGATAACGGGATTTACGGACATAGGAGAATAAATTTCTTCATTATCTGCAATTTTATAGTTCCAAAAATGTTTTTTATAAAAAATAAGAAATAAAATCTAAACATATTGATATAATTTTCTTAAACTTTGATTGATTATAAAGAAATCATAACTGAAACAAATTCACAACCAAACGGGGCTCCCAATTCTTTATTCTTTAGTTATCTGCCCCTGAAAGTAACTTTCTTTACGTAAAAATCAATTATGCAATTTCGAAATACCAAATTAATATATGACCGGAATAAAGTTAGAAAGGTCTTTGACATTGTCAGTCCGTTGGTAGAAGACATATTAGCATGTCTGTGACTATTTTCCTTTTTCGTAAACAGTTCATCGAACCTTCATATTATACAACCGATTTATAAAGTTCAACTTTACCAATGCAAATATTTAAAGGCCTCAGAATTTTCTTTTTTTTTTTTTTTTTTTTTTTATTTCTTGAAAGCTTTTTTTTTTAATTTTGGTGTACTTTATAGTACACAAAGAGTTACCCATTGGCCAATTACTTTAACCATCGCTTTTTGGCAGTAAGTACAGTTATAGTGAATTAGATTTCTGTATAGAAGTCAAAATATTACTTTGCTGTCATTTTGCTACTTTTATAAAGAAAATAACTACACATTGAGCTCTACTTTCTTCAGTTGATAGGCATCTAACATACCCTGAAAGCCTTATTTATACAGTATGAAACTTGTGTTTAGATAATTTATTCAGTTCTGAGGCATAATGTGCCTTTAACTTTACCAATGCAAATATCATTTAAACTATTATTACAAACAAAATGTATAATAAACATACGTTGCAATATTTTTGAAAAAAAAGGTTGCTGCATCTATGGGATTTTGTATAATTTTATCATGGATTGTTTTTTCTAATTGGTAAGGTATTTGAGAAGTTTTAGAAAGATATAAAACCTTTTCCATAGCTTTCACATCAGCCCGGAAGTCCGAAGCCATAGGTGTATGTATAACATCCAGTCCGAAATAATGAGCCGCTTTATCTATAGTCGGGTGTACAGTTATAGGGGCTACCTGAAACATTCAAATTTATTATCTAATGCATTCTATAACTGTTTAATTGAATTGCTGAAATCGTGTGCATGCGCAATGATGAAATTAACTGTTATAAGAGTTACCTGAATTAGGCTCGAGAACTAACAGTGATTTATTACGTGTCGACAAGGCATTGTTTATCAAATTCGACTTTCACTAAGAAGTTACAGAAATCAAGAATAAAGCTATTCAGTCTCCACATAAATCAACGTAAATATCCGCTGTCACACTGAGTTTTCACATGGTCAACGGTGTGTTTATTTAATATCATTGTTGAAGTTTGAAAATGAAAAAATATGAAACCAAAACGTGTAGTCGTAAGTTATAAATAATACTGAAACATAACTGTAATCGTACAATATTTGGTTTTCTGATGTTATTTCTCGTCGCTAGCGCCATGTCTCGGAAGGTTTTTACCGCCATCAGATTGCTCTCTGTGCCGCCGGAAGTTAGGAACCCGACGACTTCACTATTACCATTTAACATTGCAGCTGTCATACTAACAACTTCTGTCTCCATTAATCTAAATTAAAAATGTTTGATCTTTAAAAGAAATGAGGAAATATGTCGCATGAGGAAACATGTCGCAGACGGGATATGTTTTGAACTGTCGTCTGCGCGCTTATACATTACTAAGAAAATCGTTCGTCAATGGAACTGTTAAGAGTTGTTGTTGTTGTTGTTGTTCTGTAAGAGTAATATAAAGTTGCAATGAATTTGTATTGTGATTATTTTCATCTGTCATTTGTTCATTTATATTCATATTTTTAACCCTGTCAATCGACCTTTAGGGAATTATACAAGCTTCTAGCAAATGTCACAATAGATTTACTGAAAAATAGGATTGTAAGTCACGTTGTACTGAAACAACGTGATTGTTTTACAAGAATTTGTAAAAGATTGCCAAGTCTAACTTGTGGGTTGTTTGATAACCGTAGGAATGGTTCTAGTATGAAACATATAACCTGTTTTGATTTATCGCTTTATTTCCTACTATGAATAATAAAAAGAATTTGGCATCAAGAGATGGTTCTCGTGAAATTTAATATTTATATATATCAATGAAGAATTTTTCGTAGTGTCTCGAAAACCTCGGTGATCAGTTTGTAGTTGGTACTCCGTGTTAAAAATTTGATTGTTCCGACGAAAAACTAATTGTGAAAGAACAGCGCAAAAAATGATAATGTTGCAAGCTCGATTTGATTAAACCTGTTCATGGTCTTAGATTTTGAAAGAGTATTATATTTACATGCTAAATATATTTATTTACATATCATATTGTACAATGAACAATAGATTTACCTATTGCTTTTACAAGATTCATTCCATATTACAAACGTTTCGCAGTTTTTCTTAAGCACATTTTTGCCAGTCCTACGTGGTTAGCGAACAAGCCCTAAAAAATGTGTTTTTTTCTTTATTGTAAATCTTTACATTTGTTGCTGATGTCTCTAAATTCTTACCTTAAAGCAGGGAATATGATCGGGTTCAGGGCATTCTCGTGCATAAATCCATGGAAGAATTCCTTTACCAGTTCGTCATGCTCTACTGAATGGCCCGTTTTCTCTGAAATTCAGTGGGCACATTCTAATTATAGTAAATTTAATACTAGACGCTAAATCTAATCCAGAAATTGCAATATAAGTGATATTGGTTATCTGACAGTTATTTTTTTTTTCAAAATGTCTAACATAAATGCTTTAATTTGTATCAGTGGACCTTAACTACTTTAATTTTCAATTTTTTAATGAAGTCAGCGGTCAGACACTAAAGTGTACAGTTTTCAGTGGGCACGTTTACTTTTTAAAGGGCACTATGTAACAACTTGCCGACCACTGAGAGTTTTTATAGGAATTTTTTAAAGGCCCATTATGCCTAAGATATGTTTTAATTTTTATTCCTCAAACGCTTTTTATATTTTAATGTCCTGTTTTAATTTCCAAAAAGATATTCATTGGCCAAATAATTTCACATTCAGTCTTACATCATTTTCGTAATTAGCACCTAACATGCTCTAAAACCATTATTTAAACTAATGTTTGACCTTTCTATAATAGTTAACATTTATTCATTTCTGAGGCATAATGTGTCTTTATGTTTTTTTTTTTTTTTTTTTTTTTTTTTTTTTTTTTTTTTTTTTTTTTTTTTTTTTTGTCAAAATCTTGCCGTCCATTTTACGATGAACTTACATGAAAGCACATTTTATTAGATATGCTCAGTTCTTAAGAGGTATTTACATTGCAATATGTTACCTTTGAAAACTGCTAACGTGATTTATCAAGTAAATATATCAGGATAATAACATGAAATCTTAGGCATAATGGGCCTTTTAACTTACCACAAAACTTATCGAATGCTTCCTGTTGAAGCCTGTAGTTATCGTCACACAACGTGTATTGGTACGCAAAGACGTTGCCGTCACGTTCGGGATTAGCGTTACGTTTCTGTAAATTTTTCATCTGTACACGCATATCTTCAGCGCTAAATCCTGTTTCAAAAATATGAAGGTAGATAGTTTATTTAAAATTATTAATAGCCTAAGATTTCACAATAGCTCGTTATAAAGGTATAATTATGTGAAAACTAAAAATCTTTTACTAAGTAAATGGCAAGAACTTAACAAATACTGAATAAATCCACAAGCAAATCCCATATGCTGACCAACATTCTTGTAAACTTTCAGACCTACAAGTCAAATACTTTTTGAGCTATGCATGAACAAGTTGAAAATTGCAAATTTATACTACTGTAAGTCAAGGGCAATAACTCTAACAAAACTGAAAAAAATCCACATGAAAAGTCCCAGGTGCATAGCTTCACAGTGATGTTGATCATTATTCATGTAATTTAGTGATGTTGATCATTATTCTTGTAAAGTTGGTTGATTCTAACTCAAGCACTCAAGGAACAAATAACACAACATAATGAAACGGTTTTTACTAAGTCAAGGGAAATAACTCTACAAAAACTGGATAAATCCACAAGCGAAACCCCAGGTGCACAACTACATATGTTGAGCAACCTTCCCGTAAGGTTTAATGACTCTATGTCAAATCCTTTTTTGAGTTACATGCGACACAAGTTGAAAACTGAAAACATTTTCTAAGTCAAGGGCAAAACTCTAAAAATGCTATATAAATCCACACGAAAATACCCAGGTGCACAACTACACATGCTGATCAACAATCCTGTAAAGTTTCATGACTCTAGGTCAAATCCTTTTTGAGTAACGTGCGACACAAGTTGCAAATTTTCACTAAGTCAAGGGCAATAACTCTAAAAATACTGAATTAATCCAGATGAAAATACCAAGGTGCACAACTGCACATGCTTATCAACATTCCTGTTACAGTAAGTTTCATGACTCTAGGTCAATTACTTTTTGAGTTGAGTGCGACACAAAAGAGAACGTACGGACGGACGGAAGGACGGACGGACAAGGGTAAATCTAAATGCCCGCCACTAAATTGGGGGCACAAAAAAACACTTACAGCTGTCCGCACCGAAATAATACAATTAGAATTGCTAAGGTTTAGAGACGCTTGTTCATCAAAATTTAATTACTGAGTAATACAGTAAGCTGTTTATAAATCTAATAAAACATAATCGCCATAATTACTTTTTATCACACACCCGTGCCGATTTTGCGACTCCGTAAAATGATATTGCACGGCCACGTAAAATGATATTGCACGGCCGTGCATATATTTTGACGTGACGTCATTAGCGTTATACAAACACAGTGTAAAGACGCGCTAAATGTTAGCGTTATACTATAGGCGCGTCAGTAAAAATGACTCTTATTTCACTTTAAACGGTCTTTATTTTGGGTTTGTGATAAATAGAATATTAAATTCGTATAAGTTCATTACTGAATTTATTGCACTCGTTGAATAAAATAATATTATGCTCGCCAGAGGCTCGCATAACATAATTTTATTCAACTCGTGCAATGCATTCAGTATTGAACTTACACTTATTCAATATCCTCTATATATTATTCATAGGCACGATTCAATATAACTATCACTTTACAATCGTATCTGCAATAGGATGAATAAGGTCTATATAAGATACGCGTTCTTACCTTTTTCCGGAATACAGACTTTAGCCTTGCTCTTAACAACATCTTGGGCCAGACTTGTTGTATTCACGAAACTGGATACCTCATTCTTCAGGACTAGATCGATTATCGCCCTTACTCCGGGCAACTCTTTAAGAGCAAGAACAATAACTCTGAAGAACTGTTGCGGGCCTTTCTTGTAATATATGCTAATAAGAACCGCAAGGACAAGTGTAAACACGGTATGCTCGATTAATTCGATCATCGTTCTGTAAATTAAAAAAAAAAGATTTAAGGTATAAGACCCCTCATGAAATCGGCAATCTTCGACAATTATCGCCATATCTCGTCATTTATCGTGACGTACTTCGTTTGTTTACAAATAAAGTCGGAATTCTAATAATAACAGTAACCTCTAGTCATGATCACAAAATAGACAAATATCGTTTTTTTGTTTGTTTTTTTTTGTTGTTGTTTTTGTTGTTGTTGTTGTTTTTGTTTTTTTAAACGATGCTTACATTTTTCATTCATTATCGTATATAAATCGAGATGAATTAGACGTTTTAAAGTTCATTCCTTTGGGTTAAATGACGAGATTTTAACATTTTATCATACTTGTAAGCGCCTTGTCCGGTATATACCGGAATACCATATTTAGTGTGGTGCTCCCACTCAAAAAACAATTTACTTAAAGTCAAATTTCTTTAACATATTTGTATGACCTGTTTGAATTTTAACATGTTACAAAAAAACTTATTTCTCACAGATTCATTTATTCAGTTATTTCGAATAGGTATTTGTAAGTAAAAGAAAAACAATTTCATTTCAGAATAATGTTTGTTTGAAAGAATGACTAATTCAAATATCGTATACTACATCTTTTACCATAAATAGTATATTCGTATATAGACACAATAAACGTACAAAAATAGGAATGGCAAAAATCATAAAACGAAAACAGTTTGGTTTTCCACTTACCATTGGTCATTTAGTAAAAAACATTTTGAACTTTCAAAAGTTCATATAGTACGTATTCTAAAATGTTCTAAAATGAATTGACTTTACGTTAAAAGCACCTGGTAAGTTTAAGCTTATATAAGGAGAACCTGGTAGGAAACATATCGTTTCGTTTATCATGGTAAATATTTTCATACATTTGAATCATTTTATGTAGTATCTTATCCAATAATATAAAATTTAGGCAATATAATCTGGCCATCTTACAAGAGTAAGGATTCAGATCTATTGATGTATTTAGTCGTATCGGCAGTGTCCAACGTATCCCCCAATGGCGTCATCAAAGGGGGACAACTTAATTCCGGTCTTAATTAACTAAATGAAAAGGTCTTTACAGACGAGGTTTGGTACAAGAAATAAATTATACATTCATTTGATGACTTTTTCACTTTTATAATATGTATTATTAAATACTGCAAAATTAATAATAAATCTTTACTTCAATCTTGAATCTCTTTCATCTTTAAAATTAAATTTTTCTCAAGTTTGATTTTCTTAAAAATGTTTTGGCTCATCTGGAGGCATGCATCTTCCAGTTATAATTACTTAATGCGACAAATTAAGGTAAACGTAGCTATGATTTACATGTGTGGTTGTCGGAGAATATATAATTATTCCAAATACAAAACTTATGTTTAAAATGTATAAAGTGAAGTGCGATGATTTGTTAGAAAATATTTCCATATTATAACCGATCCAACAATTATATATTCAAGAAAATCTGTTTACTATCGCAATTTTCAGTCTCAGATTTAAATAAAAAAGACACAAAAAAACAACAACAAATGACTAGATCCACAAATCATGCTTTCTTGTAACCGATTACCGATAATAAGGTAGCCATGGAAATTAAGAAAGCCGACAAAATTTTCTGAGACATACCATGCATAAACGGAAAATAACGTAGATTTGTCGAATAGGATATATTTATAGACGGAAAATTAAGGAATTAAGTATATGAGTAACAGGAAAGTGGAAGTAAATTATGCATATTTGGAATATAACGTAGTTAATCTACAAAAATTCATTACACCATCGCATGTAGATGATGCATATACTGAAAGGAATTGTGATTGCTGAGACAATATCCTGTTAGCTTAATCTTTACGAATCAGTTATGAATGACATACATTTATACTAACTCATGTCTTTATTCCATTTCCCTGTCTGTATGATAACTCCCTATCTTTATACTAACTGCCTGTCTTTATACTTACTCCCTGTCTTTATGAAATGATAACTGCACGAGGTTTAATGCTCACCATACATAAGTTTGAATCATATACATATGTGTATAAAAATTATAAACGGATAAGAAGAGATTGTATTCATGTATGCATATATTAATAACTGTGTGTGTATCCAATTGGCTACTTCACATCAAGCCTTATTTCGGTATGCCAGTTTATTACAACGCAGAATTTGATATTTTAATCTCTTAAATTTCACAATAACTGATATTTACGGTGTTCCGTTAGGGCCGTCGCCTTAGAAAAATATGAAACGTGAAAAGTCGAAAAGACGAAGGGACGAAGACGAATACGCGAAAACAAGAAAGGACGAAAACGCAAAAACACGAAAGGAAGACGACGAAAACGCCGGAAAATGATGTCGGGAACACGATTATCATCAACTTGAATTTATCAAGTTTTTGCATCGTGCTTTCGCGTTTTCGTCTCTATGTGTATTTCGTCTTCGTCCCTTCGTGTTTTCGTCTTCGACCCTTCGTATTTTTTACTTTTCGCGTTTCTTATTTTTCATTCATAGGCGATGGCCCTAACGGAACACCGTAAATATAACCGGAACATTGTGAGTAAGGTCAAAAATGAGAACAAATTTACTGAAAGCAGTATTTAATACAGTTATTCAAATGTAGTTCCTGGTTGGCAATCATTTTGCGACATAACTTTCAATGAGATAATTACTTCGTATTTGTTCTAATCCGTTTAATTCTACTAATGAAAGAATGACAGAAACTTTACTTACGTCAGTCATATGAAAATCCAGTAGGCCTAAGTGGTAGGTTGACATGTCCAGTATGAATCCATACTGATTAAATATTTATACATTATCATATAAATTTAAAGATACACATAAATTATCAGTGATTAGATAAAACTCCGAGCCGATGTTTAATCAGTTTAAACAGATCCGAAAGTAAAAATAAAATAAAAGTTAGCATATAATCCACCGTTATTTTGATCATTATCTGTTTAAAGTTTAAACGTTAATACACAGTAGTATTTAATAGCTAAGTCTGTCAGAGTTACTGTTCTTTTCTATCATAAAATATTGAGGACAAACTGAGATAATGATTCGGTTCCGGTAACACACCGTCCTGACTCTTTCTTTTACATATACGAGCAGCAGCATGGTTGTTTTGTTCTTGTTTTGCATGATAACTAATTGTATTAGACTCAATGTATGAGATCAGATGTCACAGAGATAATTTTACCTTGTCCCAGGATCAAACGGATAACAAACTCGGAAATGTTGAGCTTAGCAGACGATTTACCTTTATCAAATTATAGTATTCAATTCACTTTATTTTGCTAATGAAGGAACTTGATTAGACTGGTGACGTATAATTCGATATCTTTTCTCATAACTTACGTTAGAAGAAAGGGGCGTCCGTGTCCGAGAGGTTCAGGTCGTTGACTTCAAACAACTTGCCCCTCACCGCTGTGGGTTCGAATCCCGACAGGGACTTTAGATTCTTTCATGTGAGGAAGCTATCCAGCTAGCTTACGTAATGTCGGTGGTTCTACTCAGGTGCCCGTTCGTGCCTGAAATAATGCACGGAGGGGCACCTGTGGTCTTCCTCCACCAGTAAAGCTGGAACGTCGCGATATGACCTATACTGTGTCGATGTGACGTAAAACCCAAAAACAAACTAACATATTAGAAGAAGATTCGGACAGTTAAAGATTACCCAGAAATTACGCACAAAAAAAAGAAAAAAATACAAAGAGGATATTTAAGTTGTTTCTATAAAAACAAGATGAAAATATATATTTCATGAGTGGCGATAGCCACAAGTGAAATATGATAATTTGTATACAATAGGGAATATAAATCATGTATTTATAGAAAAAAACTTGCATTTTGGTTTAATATACAGTATTTATTTCATGCTTTCCAGTGTTTTATTACAATATATCAGATGATTATATTCTGATAAACCACTAGTGAAATTTATAAAATATAATTTTCACTGTAGCCGGACTATATCTAAATGCGGATGAAAAGAAAATCATAACCAAATGGAATAACAGACAGAAATAAATTCTGTCATACGTAAATTTGCTTATTTAGGAAAAAGAAAGTCAATGTCGTCATTTATAATGTTAAAATTTAACAAAATTAGAGAAATTTAACAGAACTATATTTCAAAACTTATGATGTGACGTCATGATATAATGACGTCACAAAGGAAAATGCGCGACGTTACGCGGCAAAATCAGTAAAAAAATACTTAAAATCACTTAAAAAGCATAAAATAAAAAGAAAATTTATTTGCTTTACATATAAGATTGAAATATATTTCATTCGTGAACACCAGCTATTATATTTTCACTCGTGGCTACGCCACTCGTGAAAATATTGTATCTGGTGTTCACTCAGTGAAATTATATTTCAATCTTACATGCAAAACAAACAAATATCCTCTATATATATAAACTTTTACAGTGAAAATACAAAAAATACAAAAAATGAAAAAATACGCATTTTCATTCATCAATATTTCGATCATTTATAAGTACATTTGTATATAATAAACCATTAACCGCAAGGGCAAAAAATGATCAACTTTATGTAAACTAAATCATGTAAATAACGGTATATTTTAGAAACAAAAGTCAATATGATAATATAAGGTTTTATTTATATCATTCAGTGGTTATAATACAAACACAAATGGTTTCATATATTATTCCATCTATCCTACAATCATGTTACCATCATCCATTCTGAAATAAAGATATTTAAAATTCTAACCATTACACGATAGATATCCTGAATGGACTTCAATATGGACAAAAACCATTCATTATTTTTAGAGAAAAGTTCAAAATATTTGCTGAATAAAAAGCGAACTGAATGCGAACTGAATAAAAAGCGAACTGAATAAAAAGCTAACTGAATGAATGGCGAATTGAATGAATAGCGAACTGAATGAAAAGCGAACTGAATAAATAGTGAACTGAATTAATAGCGAACTGAATGAAAAACGAACTGAATGAAAACCGAACTGAATAAAAAAACAGAATTAATATCTAACTGAATTAATAGCTAACTGAATGAAAAACGAACTGAATGAATAGTGAAATGAATAAATATCGAACTGAATTAATAGCGAACTGAATGAAAAACGAACTGAATTAATAGTGAACTGAATGAATAGCGAAGTGAATTAATAGTGAAATGAATAAATAGCGAATTGAATGAAAAGCGAACTGGGTGAATAGCGAACAGTGCATATCATGTCGGCTGATCTTTTGCTGCACTGGTCGCAGGGGTATATTCTCTTGCCGCCAGCAGTCTAAGAGTTCAAACCGAAACTGTAATTTGGCGCAAACTGGTGACATCTGTATTTGGCGCAGTTGATTAGTAAGTTGGCAGAAATAAAGTTCGTATTTCTTACACCAATTTTTACAATTTTGTATTAAGCGAAATCGTTGTGATTCTATTTTTTATACAAAACTAAAATCAAAAATGTCTTACAAAATTAAACTTCACTTCACTTTTTTTTTGTCTTTTGGTTTTAGGCATTTCGCTAAAAACTCTAACTTTTTCTTTAACTGCAAATACTAGCAAGGAGGCATTGCAAGCTCTGTTCATAAACGTTAATAAATAATGAATGCACGATAGCAAATACTTACATTGCCACGAATTATGATGTACTAACGGGCCCTATATGAGAACTCACTCAGCAAGTTAAATTCTGTAAATATCTAATTAAGAAAAACTGTTAATGGAACAGAAAAAAATACATAAATCAAACTTACGGTTTTTCGCAGACATAATTACATTGTTGATGACAGTCGTAGTCCGCCCATTTCCAGTTCCAGTCGCCCCAGTACGTGAGACAGTCCTCGTCGAGATGTAAGGGGATACTGTTAGGTTCACCTGGTCCCCAGTCGGTGAATGTAACGGGTTCGTCTGTACCGTACCACAGGAACTGACCTTCCACCACGTCATCTGACGCACCCATCCAGACACTGGCCCCAGACACTGTCAGTATAATAATATTATTTTAGGAAATTAGAGACATTGTCGTATGTCCCCCTTAGCAATAAAACACCAAGTGTAGTGATATTCGAGGAAAATATTGTATTCAAGGGAACTACTGTTTTCATAGGGAATATTGTTTTCGATAGAAATGTTGCATTCAAGGGAAATGTTGTTTTGAAGGAAAATGTTGTATTCAAGGGAAATGTTGTATTGAAGGGAAATGTTGTATTGAAGGGAAATGTTGTATTTATGGGAAATGTTGCATTCATGGGAAATATTGCATTCAATGGAAATGTTGTATTCAAGGGAAATGTTGTATTCAAGGGAAATGTTGTTGTCAAGAGAAATGTTTTATTTAAGGGAAATTTTGTTTCCGACGGAAATATTGTATTTAAGGGAAATTTTGTATTTTAGGGAAATATTGTTTTCGAGGGACATACTGTTACCTCAAAACAATATTTATCATGGCCAGAACTAGTTTTCTTTAATCAATATCATTTTCTACTTAACCCATTACTTCATGAGCATTTTGTGAAAAATGGCTGTTTTCATTGAAAAGTCTCCCGTTACAAGTTCAAATTGCTATAATACTATAAAAACTGCTTCAACACTAATCAAACTTGGCACAAATGTTGACTGGACCATTGCCCTTGCACACAACATGCTCAGGCTTAAATTTTCTGTTACCATGGCAACGAGGGGACATCTCAAAATTGCCAAAAATCACTATTTTGCATTGATTTTTTCCATCAAAATTGATTTCAAAAGTGCTGCAACTTCTCATGGATTGAGATGGAGTCAAATGCTTTTCAGCGTTGGTTACACGTTACCTTATGATCAATCTGGGATCATTTGCAGCCTCTCATTAGTCCAAATTTTCTTGGCGATGAGGGGACTCCGCCCCTTCAACCCCCCCAAACAGAAGGGGCACACCACCCCTTCTGGCAACCCCTGATGTATCTTTTGGTTGGGGGGCCGCGCCGAAAAAGAGGTCACTTTTTTTAACAACATTTCTCAAACAAAATCAAATGTTTGGGGCCTAAATAAGGCAATTTTTTCATCATTTGAGACAACAAAAAAGGGGGGGGGGTGAAAAAGGCGTTAAAAAGGCGTTAAAAGGTGTGTATATGAAGTAAAGGGTTAACAGAAAATGATGAAAAATACTTGAAATTACCCTAAATCGCGTTTTTTTCATGTTTTAAACATGGCCTGTCAATATTAAATTTGAAGAAAAATTGTTGTTTTGTAGATTTTTTTGATTTTTTTCATTAACCCATTACTTCATGAGCATTTTGTGAAAAAATGGCTGTTTTTCATTGAAAAGTCTCCCGTTACAAGTTCAAATTGCTATAATACTATAAAAACTGCTTCAACACTAATCAAAATTGGCACAAATGTTGACTGGACCATTGCCCTTGCAACAACATGCTCAGGCTTAAATTTTCTGTTACAATGGCAACGAGGGGACATCTCAAAATTGCCAAAAATCACTAATTTGCATTGATTTTTTTCCATCAAAATTGATTTCAAAGTGCTGCAACTTCTCAATGGAATGAGATGGAGTCAAATGCTTTTCAGCGTTGGTTACACGTTACCTTAATGATCAATCTGGGGTCATTTACAGCCTCTCATTAGTCAAAATTTTCTTGGCGATGAGGGGGACTCCGCCCCCTTCAACCCCCCCCCCAAACAGAAGGGGGCACACCCCCCCTTCTGGCAACCCCCTGATGTATCTTTTGGTTGGGGGGCCGCGCCGAAAAAGAGGTCACTTTTTTTAACAACATTTCTCAAACAAAATCAAGTGTTTGGGGCCTAAATAAGGCATTTTTTCATCATTTGAGACAACAAAAAAAAGGGGGGGTGAAAAAGGCGTTAAAAGGCGTGTATATGAAGTAATGGGTTAAAATAGGAGTATACGCATTGTCCGAATTACAGAAAATATCTTATAATTTAAATTTCCAAAGACAAATAATTAGATGTTTATATACTTGTTTAACTGCACCAG